CATGATCACCTCACTAGATGCTAAACAAGCCTTTGACAAAATCCAACACCCCTTCATGAGAAAGGATTTGGAAAGATCATAGATACAAGGAACATACCTAAACATAATAAAAGCAATATACAGCAAGCTGACAGGCACATCAAATTAAATGGAGAGAAACTCAAAGCAATTCCACTAAAATCAGAAATAAGACAAGACTGTCCACTCTATATCTATTCAATACAGAACTTGAAGTTTTAGCTAGAGCAATAAGATAATTGAAGGAAATCAAGGGGTTATAAATTGGAAAATAAGAAATCAAAGTATGGCTGTTCACAGATGATATCAGAGTATACCTAAGCAACCTCAAAAGTTCTACCAACGAACTCCTTATTAACACCTTCAGCAAAGTGCCTGGATACACAATTAACTCAAAAAAAAGTCAGTAACCCTCCTATAAGCAAATGCCAAGAAAGAAATCAGGGAAACAAAAAGCTTCACAATAGCCAAAAATAATATGAACTATATTAGGGTAACTGTAACCAAACAAGTAAATGACATGCATGACAAGAACTTCAAATCTTTGAAGAAGTTATAAGACAGAAAGATCTCCCATGCTCCTGGGTTGGTAGGATTAACATAATAAAAATGGCCATCTTACCAAAAGCAATCTACAGATTCAATGTAATCCCTATAAAAATTCAAAAACAAAGTTTGGTCTATTTGTGGAGACCTAGGCAGTGGGACCAGGGTTTATCCCTGGTGTATGAACTAGTTTTTTGGTATCCATTCCCTATAGTAGGTTACCTTGCTCAGGTTTGATGCAGGGGGGAGGTTCTTGGTCCTGCCTCAACTTGATATGCCAGGCTTAGGTGACTCTCCATGGGAGGCCTAACCCCCATGAGGAGTGGATGGGAGGGTGGGGAAACTGGATTATGGGAGGGTGGGGGAACTGTGGTTAGTATGTAAAATGAATAAAAAATTTAAAATAAAAACATTGAATCACAATTCTTTATAGATCTTTAAAGAACAATATTCAACTTTATATGGAAAAACAAAAAACCCAGAATAGCTGAAATTCTTCTGTACAGTAACTTCCCTGATTTCAAACTATACTACAGAGCTATAGTAATAAAAATCTGAATGGTATTGGCATAAAAATAGAATAAAAAATAGAATTGAATCAAAGACCCTGACATAAATTTCCACACCTATGAATTCCTCATTTTCTATAAAGATGCCAGAAGTACACAATGGGGAAAAAAGAAAGCATCTTCAACAAATGGTGCTGGCATAACTGGATGCCAGTATGTAGAAGAATGCAAATAGATCCATAGCTATCACTCTGCACAAAACGCAAGTCCACGTGGATCAAAGACCTCAACATAAAACCAGATACACTGAACCTGATAGCAGAGAAAGTAGCCTTGAATGGATTGGCAAAGGAGACAACTTCCTGAAGAGAACACCAATAGTTCAGGCCCTAAGATCATCAATTAGTAAATTGGACAACATGAAACGGAAAAACTTCTGTAAGGCAAAGAACACCATCAATAGGACAAAGCCATGGTGTACAGAATGGGAGATACTTTCAAAAATATATAAAGAACTCAAGAAACTAAACATCAGCAAATCAAATAATCCAATTTTAAAAAGTGAGGTACAGATCTTATCAGAGAATTTTCAACACAGGAATCTCAAATGACCAAGAAGCACTTAAAGAAATGTTCAGCATTTTTAGCCATCAAATTAAAATGACTCTGAGATTCTATTTCACACCTGCCAGAATGACTAAGATCAATAACACAAGTAACAGTTCATACTTGGGAAGATGTGGAGCAAGGGGAATATACCTTCATTGCTAGTGGGGATGCAAACCAGTACAGTCAATTTAGAAATCAATATGGTGGTTCCTAGAAAAATTGGAAATCTATCTACCTCAAGACTATACCACCACTCCTGGGCATATATCCAAAGGTTGTTCTACCACACCACAAGGACACTTGCTCAACTATGTTCATAGCAGATTATTTGTAATAGCCAGAACTTGGAAACAATCTAGATGTCCCTCAACCAAAGAATGAATTTTTTTAATGTGGAACATTTACTCAATGAAATATTAGTCAGCTGTTAAAAACAAAGCATCATGAAATTTCCAGGCAAAAGAATGGAACTAGAAAAAAAATCTTCCTGAGTGAGGTAACCCAGACCCAGAAAGACAAACATGGTATACACTGACCTATAAGTAGGTATTAGCTTTAAAGGCTACAATCCACGATCCAGAGAAGCCAAGCAACAAGGAGGGCTCAGGGGGACACATCGATCTCCCTTGATAGTGGAAATAGATTTCATGGGTACAGTGAGGGCACATGGAGATGGGAACTGGATGGATTAGTTGCAGGGAAGATGGAGAGAGAGAGTACTAGGAGAGACAGCTGGAATTGGGGAGCATTTTAGGGTTAAGGTGGCAACTTAGTGCAAAGGAAACACCTGTGGGTCTACCATGGTGACCCTATTTAAGACTCCTAGTAATGGGGGACACAGATCCTGAACCAGCCATCTCCTGTAACCAGACAAGACTTGCAGTGGAGAGATTGGGACCCCAGTGGAGGCACAAAACCTTTGACCTACAATTTGTCCTGCCTGTAACAGAAATTGTGGGAGTGGCCAACCAGTGACTGGTCCAACCTGAGACCCAGGCCACAGGAGGGAGCCCACCCTGGCACTGCCTGGAGAGCCAGGAACCAGAAGCTGGTTAGTCCAGAGACATAGGATACACCCAAACACAACTGGCAAAAGAAAAAAAAAGTCAATGAAATGATTCCTAATGATATTCTGCTATACTCACAGACCCAGCACATCATTAAAGAAAATTCATCCAGCAATTGAGGGAAACAGATGCAAAGACCCAGGGCCAAACACTAGGCAGAGTTCTGGGAGTCCTGCGGAAAAGAGGGAGGAAGGATTATAGGATCCAGAGGGGTCAAGGACACCACAAGAAAACTCAAAGAATCAACTAACCTGGGTTCATAGGGGTTCACAGAGACTAAAATGACGAGGAACTAACCCAGGACCTCTGCAAATATGTTACGGCTGTGTAGCTTGTGGGACTCCAAATGGTGGGAACGGATCTGTCTCTGACTCTTTTGCCTGTTTCTGGGACCCTTTTCCTCCTACTAGATTGTCTTGAGGCACCTAGTCTTACTGCCCTTTTCTGAAGGGAAATGGAGAGGAATGAATTGTGAGGAGAGGGGAGGTGTGTGTAGGGACTGGGAGGGAAGGAGGGAAAGAAAACTGCAAAGGGGAATGTAACATATGAGAGAAGAAAATATAAAATGATTTTAAAGTTTTTCAATCACCCTTATAATGCTTCAGATGTAAATACTATAAGTAGAAACATTAAAATTCTCGTGCTGTATAATCCATGGGCAATAGAAGAAAACAACAGCAGCTCATCTTCTGTCCGTTTCTGACTGTCTGTTGATAATCATTTGTTGTTGAGTCATGCCAAGCCTGAAATAGTCAACCATTCAGAACTTTTTTCAATTGCTGGTGACAGAAATCCAATTCCAACTGGTGTGTGTGGGGGGGGGTGAGGCATTTGTGTAAATGAGCAGATTAGGCATGTCTGCTCCACAGTTTATTTCTGGTTTCATTCTCAGGCAGTTCCTGGACATACATCCATAGGTGGTTCTGGGATTATTGCTGCAAAAACGACATTTTAGGTCTCTGACTGCCATAATTCCAGGTTTATGACAACCTTCTGTCTATATCTAGAAAAACTGGATACTTACAGGAGTATACTCACCAGCAGGAAATACAAGATTTCAAATAAAGGACGCTGCAGAAAGAGAAAGAAACTGGTGGGGAGGCACGCCCCTGTCGTCTGAGCAATGGGAGACACAATGGGTTGCCACACTTCAAGGCTGTCTTCATCTTCACAGAGTTCCAGGCCAGCTAAGCCTACATAGTACCATGGTAAACACTATAAACCAAGCATTTGGAAGGCTGAGGCAGGGTGGTCATGATGTTGAAGTTACACTAGACTACTAATGAGACCAACCTGAACTACTCAGCAAGATCTAGTCTTAAAACAATGCAAAAAGCATTTGTTGATTTAAAATTTACATTATGCATAGGGATCTCCCCTTCTTTCTTGTTTTCCTAAACAGTGTAAAAGAAGCCTGCATCATTCTGAATTTGAACATCCATTCATCATTCCTGAAAGATGTCCTGCAGTCAGTTTCTGAGCACCTTCTGGCTACAGCCTTAAATGACATTGGAATTTACAAACTGGCTCAGAAAGATGTTGAGGTTCTGTTCAATTTGAGGACAAACTGGCCTAACACTAAAAACAGTGCATCTTTGAGAAAAGAACAATTGCATTGAAGCTGTCTGATAAAGTTCTGGATTAATTGCCAGGGTCCAGCCTATTTCAGTCCCATGCTGCAGAGGCCATTTATTCCAGGCTGATGTCTTGGGTGCTGTGATCGGAACCAGCCCAACAGCCCTGGGTCTGACATTGAGTGGGGACATGTGGGTGAGAGAAGACCTAGCTACCCAACTACCTTAAGGATGGGACAGAGACATCTGGTCATAACAGGAGGGCTCCCAGTCAATAATGGAGACCACAGTTTATTTGAGCATCATTTTAAATAACCATCCAAAAATGGGGGCAATGGCAGAAGACATCTATTATCATGTACTATGTACTATCATATAGGGTTGATTGGAAATATTTCCTTTAATCATAGAAACTCTCCTAAGTAGCACGTACTCAAGCCCTCAGACACTCGATATCAGCACATCTCACTAGGGTGGTTATAGACTTGTTCAGGACCAGGTCTTTTATTATACAAAAATAAGAACCATTTCCCATCGAGGCCACTCCATCCAGAGGTAATCAGCTAGCATCTAGAAGACAATAGAAGGTCTGAGCTCCTGGAATTTGTGGCTGGGCCAAGCATATTTCTGAAATATTACACTTGGGCCCTGACAATTAATGAAACTGAACAAATGAAAACTTGGTAGAATCATTTATTAATCTTGAGTTATGATGTCACTAAAACAATGACCATATCTCCTCCGTCCTCCTGTTCCTAAGAAAACAAACAACAGAAAATTCAGCTATGAGAAACAGGAATTAAGAATTACAAATAGGAATCAGACATCTGAACACAGTGTGAGAACAAAGATCAGTCTTTGCTGACCTCCACTTAGCTGATCAGCGGAGCTGTTGTAGAAAGCTGAGCATAGCCAGTGCACTGCAGAAATACTAAATTACGCAGGTGTGTTAATACTTGGGTTTCCTGCTTGGGATTTTACTATGTTTATGTAAGAAATACACCATGTTCTGGGAGTGGTGGGAGACACCTGTAATCCCAGCACTCTGAAGGCTGAGGCAGGAGGATCCCTGCAGGTCAAGACTCACCTGGGCAACATCATAAGATTCTGTCTCACCAGACAAAAACAGCATTAAGCAAAACAAACTGCCCCCAAACCAAAAACACAAAAGTTTTATTAGATGGTGGTTAAGCTATGGTTGTTCCTAATAATACTCAATTCTCATGTCCTTCATTTAAAGTATTTCCTAGCTGTATTTGTGAGTGCATTCATGTGCAGGTGTGTGTGTATCTGTGTGTGTGCGCATGTGCGTGCATGTGTGAGTGTGTGAGTGTGTGAGTGTGTGAGTGTGTGTGTGTGTGTGTGTGTGTGTGTGTGTGTGTAGATCAGAGGTCAACCTTAGGTATTGTTCCTAAAGATGTCCACTTTGTTTTGGAGGCAGGGTCCCTCACTGGGACTTTGGGCAGGCTCCAGGGTTCCTCTGCATCTCCCTTCCCTAGACAGACATCAAAGTGTAAACCATCAAGTCAGGTTTACATGGGTTCTAGGGAGCGAACTCTTTTTGCTGCCTTGTCAATGGTCAGTACTTTACCCTTTACCGCTAGGTAACTCCCCAATCCTTCCTGGTTCCATTTCTTGTGACAATGGCAATCTTATTTCTCTGGTTGAAACATTTTAGAGAGCAGATACTAAATTCTTTGTGTATGTGTGTGTGTGGATGTGTCTGGATGTGTGTGTATGGATATGTGTGGATGTGTCTGGATGTGTGTGTATGGATATGTGTGGATGTGTGTGTGTGTGTCTATGTGTGTGTTTTAGTCTGTGCAAGTGAATGCCAGAGTTAATGTTGAATATCTTCCTCAATTGCACCCTACCTTATTTTTTCAGAAAAGGTCTCAGTGAACCTAAAGCTCATTGATTCAGCTAGACTGTCTGGCCAGTGGCCTCTGGGGGCTGCCTGTTTTTCCTAGTGCCGGGGTTACACACATGTGCAACTGTACTCAGCTTTTCGTGGGAGCTGGGAATTTGATCTCAGGTTCTCATAGTTATGAAACAAACCTTTTGCCAGCTGAGTCATCTCCCTAACCTGAGACAAAAAAAAACCTTTGTTTTTCCTTCTAATATTTCTGTGGTCTTGGACTATGTAAAGTAATAGGTTTTGTGTGTGTGGTTTTAGAGATCATTCAAGGCAAGAGCTCTACCAACATTCCCAGCCTAAGCAATGACCTTGTCACTGGCCCTACTTTGCATTGTATACATAGACGTTTCAACTATTATGTGGAACTGAGAGCCTTAGTAATTCTAGCAGACTGGGCCTCCTCACTTCATATATGAGAAATGATAAAATTTCCTTTTTCTTTAAGTTAGACAGGGTCTCTCTACATAGACCTGCCTGTCCTGGGACTCACTATGTAGATCAGTTGTCCCTGAACTCACAGAGATTATCCTGTTTCTGCCTCCTGACTGCTGGGATTGAAGGCTTGCAAGGCAGTGATGAGGTCTACTAAATGAGAAAAGAATGAGGTTGCCTGTAGAACTTCCTTTCTAATTATCACTGTCCCTCTCCTTTCCCAGGGTGAGTTTTCCCTGCTTTCACTCAAAAGTAGTGGGTGGTGAGTGGGGAGGTGGCTTAGGAGGGAAGGTGCTTGCTGTTCCGGTGCAAGGGCCTCAGTTTGAATCCTCAGAACCCATGTAAAGCAGAGACTGGGGTACACAGTGCAGCAGCAAACAGCAGAGAGACAAGGTGGGAGGTGAGAACAGAACCCCAAGATTGCTCTGATATCCACATGTGTACCATGGTTATGCATGTGCACATATCATAAACACAAGTACATATATCCTCATATGCATATGCCCACACTAAACAAGAAAGGGTAGTGGTACTCTATGCAATGATATTAACACTCCAAAGTCATACCATGTTATTAAAATACTAAAAAAACTTACACTTCATCTCTGAATTTATCCAAAGTTATTATATGTCCATCATCATTTAAAACTTCACCTGCAGCACACAGACCCAAGTTTTTTAGGGCTGCAAAAATGAAGAGAAAAGAAAATGTACACAATGGAATTATTTTCAGCTAGAGAGAGTTACAGAATGGCCTTACTTGGTATAGGTCACACTGACCTTCCTTATACTGCATAAATGATATGCAGCCTCTGCCAGAGGAGTCCATCATTTCAAACATCGACACAATATTAGAGTTGTCCATGAAGAAAGGGAATGCTATGCCTGTTATCTTGGCAATTCTCAGCCGTTCCAGAAGAGAGATTAAATACTCTCTTGGTTTTTCTGTAAATAAACAGTTGAAACTCATTCTTATATGAAATTAAACTGTGTTGCAAGTGGAAGCAGTCCAGGCACTCAGAGTGCAGGGCTTGCTTACATGAAACTTACCCTACAGCAGAGAACACTTACGTAGCTGAATTCAGCAGCACTCAGCCTCAAAGGGCTGAGTGTCACAGTCCAGAGACTGCACCTGGGATTTTTTTTAAGGCTTTCTGGATGACCTGGTTTGCAGATGGAAGCCAGAAAGACAGAGGAGATGGTATGTTGCAGAAGAAGCTGGCCAGTGAAGACATCGGGAAACTTGGCTTCTGTGGGAGGCAGCGTGTTTATGTCTAAGATAGGAGCAGTTGTGTGGCAATCACAGCAGAAGTAGGACATAAGATGTCAGGAGATGGTCACTGTGTGTCCACTAGCAGGAAGCAGAGTTGAGGGCTTCTGCTCAGATCTCTTTCCCTGTTTTGTGTCCATGATCCTGACTCTGGGAATGGTGTCACTTGCTGGACAGACATGCCAGAGGCCCATCTCCTGGATGATTCTAGACCTCCAAGTTGACAACTGAAATTAACCACTGTAAGGACTCTTTGTGTTTTCCATATTGCAACAGTTTTGTGGTCACAATACACTTTACACTTGCAAAAAAACGTGTCTAGTATCTTTATTTAGGTTGGTAGTATTCAAGTTTCTAGTTGTATATAAATAGTATTCCGTCCGAATAGCATTTAAAGTTAGGCGTGTTGGTATATTCCAGCACTGGGGAAGTAGAGGCTGAATGATCAGGAGTTCAAGGCTAGTGTCAGCTACCTGGGAAGCTCTAAGGCAGCCTGGATATAAAACTTTGTCTCTACAAGAGCCCCTGAACATTGTGGGAGTGGGGAGGGAGGTAGGAGAAAGAGGAGGGGGAGGAAAACATGAGGGATTAGGAAGACTGAGTGAGGAGAGGAATAGAGGCGAGAAAGAAAAGAGACACATCAATAGAGGGAGTCACTATAGGTTTAAAGAGAAATCTGGCACTAAGGAATTGTACAGAGATCCACAAGGATGACCCCAACTAGGAATCTAAGCAATAGTAGAGAGACTACCTTAAATGTCCTTCCCCTATAATGAGAATGATGACTACCTTAAATGCCATCCTAGAGCCTTCATCCAGTAGTTGATGGAAGCAGAAGCAGACACCCACAGCTAAGCACTGAACCAAACTCCTGGAATCCAGTTTCAAAGAGGGAGGAGTGATGAATAAAGGGGTCAAGACCACGCTGGGAAACCCACAGAAACAGCTGACCTGAGCAAGTGGGAGCTCATGGACCCCAGACTGACAGCTGGCGAACCAACATAGGACCAAAGCAGGCCCCCTGAATGTGGGTGTCAGCTAGGGAGCACTGGGCAGTCTATGGGGCCTCTGGCAGTGCCCTAGTGCATGAATGGACTTCAGAAGCCCGTTTCCCATGGAGGGATACTCTCTCAGTCTAGACACACAGGGGAGGGCCTGCCCCAAATGACTAAAAGATTTTGATGATCTCTCATGGAAGTCCTCACCCTCCCTGGGAAGTAGAATGGGATGGCAGGGTTGGTGGGGGCATGGGAGAATGGGAGGGAGAAGGAACTCTCTAGAGCTGGAATTATAAGCAGTTGTGTGCCTCCTGATATGGGTTCTGGGAACCAAATTCAGGTCCCTTATAAGAGCAACACTTGCTTATAAGCACTGAGACATTTCTATAGCACCCCTTCAAGTTTTTAAACTGATAATTGTGTATGTCACAGGTTTTATGTTATTGATGTATGACCCTTTGACACTGGCTTTTCTCTGACTTTCTTCCTGCCTTCTTGGTGTGTGTGTGTGTTTGTGTGTGTGTGTGTATGTGTTTTGAGATAAGGTCTTGTTATGCATCCTAGGCTGACTTATAGTTCACTTTGTATCCCAGGCTGACCTCAAGAACCTCTTGCCTAAACTTCTTGCATTCTGGGATCACAGGCATGTGCCACCATGCCTGGCTTTTATCTCTACGATAGATAATTCTGTCATTATCTACACACACACACACACACACACACACACACACACACACACACACACCTTTGCAAACTAACAATACACTTTGCAACCTAGGACCCTCATCTGCATTGAGCTGTGTATGCGCCTCTCTTTCTAAACAAAAGCAGTTTGGTCACTCTGAACTGTAAGTCCCATTGTAAGCCTTGGTAGCTCTTCTTTTGTGGCCAAATGCATCCTAAAATTAGGTGTAGTGGACTTATCCATCTAGACTTGGGTGAATGAGTAGCTAGGCAAATGCGTCCTCAAAGTGAGTTTACAGAAAACCCCTATTTACCATCTTACACATATGCATAATTGCAAGTGTGTATGATTGAAGTGAGATGCACCAAATAAGACACATACAATAAATAAAGGCTTATATAGCCAAGCCTTTCATTCTAAACAAACAGCTCAGGCACCTGCCACTGACAAGGATGGCCTGAGTCTGATCCCAGGACTCCATAGCAGAAGTAGAGAAGAGACTCCTAAGGTTGTCCTCTAACATTCATGCCCTTGTATACAAGTACAAACTGATTATGAATGAATACATATCATTTTTAAATAAAGGACTAGAGAATCACAAAACCACTAAAACTCAAGTTTACACTCAGAAAACAACTCTCCTTCCTATTGAAACTGGAAAAAAAAACCTTAGAAAGAAGCCAGGGGCTCTTGAGTGATTCTTTCTCAGAGCCAAGGCTCTCTGTGGTCTATCTGGCCTGTATTCTGTTTGCCTCTGTGATGGGGAAGTCCTGTGTATATGTCAATAAAGCACTGTTGGCCAATAGTAAAGCAAGATAGGTGGGACTAGGAGTCAAGGAGGACTCTGGGAAGGAGAAACACAGGGAGTCATCATGTAGCTGCCATAGGGGTAAGAAGTCCGGACCCTTTTCTCCGGTAAGAGAAATACTTAGATTAACAGTTATGGAGTAAATACTTAAATCAGAGATAGCCAGTAAGAAACAAGCAAGGCCAACAGCTTCATAATTAATACAGCGTCTTGTGTGTTATTTGGGGAAAAACCGAAGTGGCTGGCAAGGAAAAGGCTTCACTCATCACCTCTGAATAAAACCCTTAACTCCTTCCTGTTCTGTGTGTTTCATCAGTACTTAAACAAGATGAGCAGTCTGGGTACACCAATGTAGACTGAGACCCTTGGCAGCACATGAGTTAGTAATGGACCACATTAGAGCAGGAAGACTGAGAGCTAGGGTCACAGTTGTTAGAGATGACAGTTACTCGCTGAGAGGAACCACACATGTGGAACATATATATACACACAGAGATATGTGTGGGGATGTATATGTGGAGGTATCCATATATAGAGAGACAGAGATATAAGTGGAGGAATTGATGATGCACAGAAAACTGGGAAAACATTAAAAACAAAGAAAATGTAATCCAAGCATATTACACACACACACACACACACACACACACACACACACACTAACTCTGGACATTTGTCTAAAAATAGCATTGACAGCTCTGAACATTGGCTGTACTAAATTTGTGGGTTTTTTTATTTTTCCTTTTTTTTTCTTTTTAGTTTTTCGAGACAGGGTTTCTCTGTCAACAGCTCTGACTGTCCTGGAGCTAGCATTGTAGACCAGGCTGGTCTCGAAGTCACAGAGATCCGCCTGCCTCTGCCTCCCCAATGTGCCACCACTGTCCGGCTAAATTTGTGTTTTAAATTTAATGACAAGAAGAGTTAGGTCGGTGGTTAAGGGCACTAGTACTTGAAGAGGACCTGGTTCGGGTACCAGCACCCATATGGGGGAATCATAGCCACAGATAACTCCAGACACTCTTCTGGCCTCCTCAGCCACCAGGCACGCTGTGACACACAGATATACACGCAGGCAAAACACATACACATGCTTAAAACAAATACATTTTAAAAATAAAATATTTTGAAAGACTTTTCTCAACCCCTAGGAGGTCATACTAGTTTTCATCTTTTCCAAGTTGGGATTGTATTTTTGCTTCTTTCCACGGAAGTAAATGGACAAATGGGGTTTTTAGACACTCGTTGTGAAGGCTGGCGGGCTCCAATCATTCTGGGAGGATACCAAACTGTTTTCATCTCAACGTTAACTTCTTACCGTATACCACCAAAAACTGTGAAATAATCAAAATTTTGAAAGGATCTAATGCGTTAAAATGGCAGGGGAAAAAACGGGCTCCCCAGGAGGATCCCAGTAGCTCACGCATCAATTATTTAGCTTCACCTTGGAATTGAAAAGATCTGTTGCTGGCCTGGCCAAGGTTGGTTTAGCTGTAATTCATTTAATATTTCCCCCCTCCCCCAATTTTTATGAGGTCGGTACTGTTATCTCCATTTTCCAGTGGAAGAGACTGACGTTCCGTCTTTTCCCAATTGCTCATACCTACGGGGTGGACCTGAACCCAGACTCTGTCGCCTGCCGAGCCCTCCAGCCTCCCTGCAGCATCGAGCTAGCGGCAAGAGGCCATTTATGGCGTTTGACTAGGGGAGGGGGTCACAGAGTTCAATGACAAGGGCAGGGTTCCACTGTCAGGAGGCCGGGAATGGAGTGAGTGGAGAGAGCAGGGTCTGGGGAGCAAAGAGGCAGACTGGGCAGAGGTAGGCAGAAAACCAATGGAAGCAAGACCCTTACTTGGTCGGTCAAAGAGGAGGAAGCTAGTGAGTTGGTTTAGCAGCTCCATTATCCGATGTTTTTCTAAATATTCCTTGGCTTGAAGCTCCCGGTTACCATCAGGGTTCATGTTTCCCTGCCGTGTGGTTGCTAGGAGACCAGGCAGCGTCCTGGCGCCGGAAGCCTGCCCCTACTTCTCATTCAGTCCCGTGACGCACTTCAAGGCTATCATTCCCTCCTCCTCTTCTTCCTCCTCCCCCTCCCCCTCCTCCTCCTCCCCCTCTCCCTTCTCCTCCTCCCCCTTCCCCTCCCACCCTAGTACAATGTCCTTCCCTGCAAAAGCGTAGGTGTGGCGGGCAGGAGAGCACATGCGCTTGTGGAGTGGGTGTCAGCCCTTTCATCGACCGAGGTTGGATTTAGTTGGTACCTGTCCCCGCCCCCTGCACCTGCCTGATGGATCCTGAGCTTCAGAGTGCTGGCTGCTTAAACTTTTTTCCACTTTCAACACTTTTCAAGTGGGACCTTGGTGTGTAGGTAAATAATTCCAACATTTACTGTTAGTCAGAAGAAATTAATTTTAAAACAGTTCTTTGAAGCCAGGTGTGCTGGTGCATGCCTATATACCCAGCACTTGTGGGTGGAGGCAGGGGGATTAGGAATTCACTGCTATCTTTGGCTAGGTCAAGGTCAGCCGGGGTACATGACCCTGCTTCTGAAAACCAAAGCAAACTAAACCAAAACAAAACAAAACCTTTTTTCTGTGCATTAGCAATGAAAGCAATTGTGTACTGATACACATGTGTGCGCCTGCTTAGTTTTACTTGAGGAACTAAATGTCAGCGGAGTACTGGTAATGCAAGACACAGAGCATCTGCAAAGGTTTGCGGTGTTGACTGGTATGTTGATTTCATAATTGTCAAAGCTGCGAATACTACTTCACAGAAATACATAATACAAAATTGTTGAAGTATATTTAGGGCTATTCCAGTGATTGTTGGCAATTCTTTTTCCTCAATTCAAAAATTCACATAATGATTTTATTTTATTCTATGAAATTCAAGGCAACAGGTCAAATGTTTGGGACTAGTCTATAGCTCAATGGCATAGCATTTGTCTAGCATGTGAAAATACAAGGTTGGATCCCAGCGCTACCAACAGCAGTATCCAAAAACTCCACAAAAAAACAAATTCAAAAGACCCCATTTAAGAGGGAAGAGCGCTAGTCTAGTATGAGGACAACTCTAGATTTAATATTAGCACCAACAAATAAAACATAAATTGATAACTTACAGCAGGATGTATAAAGGTTTACACCCGTAATTCCAGCATTGTGAGGGTGAAGGCAGACCAGTAAATTAATTAATTAATTAATTAATTAATCCTTAGAATACAGTCTAATACATAAATCTGACATGCGCGAGGAATGACAGTAGGAAAATTAATAAAATTAAGTCTTTGTTTTATGTAATTAAGTCTTTAAATTTCTAAACTAGAAGGAAATTTGCATATGCAGTAAAACACTGAAATTCATGCAGCAGTGTTTGCTGGCACTTTAAGATGTGACACATGGACTCTGGGATCTCCTGGCCTGGGGACTGCAGACAGGTTGACTCACCCCCAGTGGACCAAGCAACTTCAAGTCTGCTGAGATCACTGGGCTAGTCCAGCTCCCACCCACCAGGGGAGGGAGTGCCTCAGACCCACCTGAAACCCACCGTGAGAACCATCAGAATATGGGTCCCTCTTGCATGCACCAGAAGAGAACCTTGGGCCTGTACCCACCAAGAGAGGAAGAGATCCCACCTGCACCCTCTGGAAGAAGGGATGGGACAATGACAGTATAAGAACACATCCAACAACAGAAAGACCAATATGACACCACCAGAGTCTAGGAATTCCACACCAGCAAGACCTGACCATCCCAACACAGATGAAGCAAAAGAAAATGACCTTAAAAACAACTTCAGGAAGATGATAGAGACCCTAGAAGAGGAAATGAGAAAATCTTTTAAAGGAATGGAGGAAAAGACAAACCAAAAATTGCAAGAAACAATTCAAACAGTGCAAGGTTTAAAAACTGAAACAGAGACAATTTTAAAAAACGAAGCCTGAGGGAATGCTGGAATGATAAAAGATGGGTAAACAATCAGGAACTACAGATGCAAGAACATAATGCAAGAGATGGAAGAGAGAATTTCAGGTGTTGAAGACACAATAGGAGAAATAGATTCATTGACCAAAGAAAACCTTAAGTCCAATAAATCCGTAACACAAAATATTTAGGAAATATGGGACACCGTGTAAAGGCCACACCTAAGAATAATAGGTATGGAAGAAGTTGAAGAAACCCAACTCAAAGGTGCAGAAAACATTCAACAAAATCATAGAAGAAATTTTTCTCAACCTAAAGAAAGACATGCCAATGAAAGTACAAGAAGCTTACAGAACACCAAATAGAGTGGATCACAAAAAAAGTTTCCTTATCACATAATAATCAAAACACCAAACATATAGAATAAAGAAAGAATATTAAGAGCAGCAAAGGAAAAAGGCCAAGTAACATACAAAGGCAGACCATTCTATATGGAGAGATGCCTTGCCCAGCTGAGACACAGGGGTGTAGGGGTGGAGAGGTGCCTTGGTCCTGCCTCAATGAGATGATGGGACAGACTTAGTAGACTTCCTAGGGGAGGCCTTACCCTCTCCATGGAGGAGATGGGAGGAGGGGAAGAGTGGAGGGAGTGGGAGGAGAGGAGGGAGGCGGAACTGGCATTGGAATGTAAAAAATAAATTCATTTAAACAAGGAAAAAGAAAAGATGTGACACGTAGGCAGTTCCAAGTGTGCCTTGTGAGTTCAGAACCAAGACTTCACTGAAAATGGGTGACTCAACACTGCCAAAGACACCTTAGACTCATTGTGTGTTTTATTTTTAAGTTTTTGTCTGTTGTATGCTGAGAAACTAATGCTGCCTAATGTATTGAGAGCTCCACATTCTATTATGTAACTGGGACTCAGTCTCCCTAGTGGAGTAGCTGTGACCTGGACTGCCTGAAGACTGCTATCAGGAGACCACCTAACAGTCAATAAAATATTATTTATTTAGTGTGTAGGTGTTTTGCCTGCATATTTGTCTATGCACCATGTGCATGCAGTGCTCATTGAGACCAGCAGAGGGCACTGGATCCTGGAACCAGAGTCACAAACAGTTGTGAGGTGCCATTTGGTGCTCAAACGCAGGTCTTCTTGAGGAGCAGCTGGTGCTCTTACATGCTGAGCCAGCTCCCTCTGACAGTCACTCTGATAGGTTACTGCGTATGGTGAAATACCGATGGCTAAGAGAGCCACTGTGTAGCCACAGGATCACTGAAGGGACTGAACTCTAGCCTGGGACTCTGTTCTTGGGTAACATCCGAAACCTGTGCCCTTATCCTTCCCCAGAAACATGGTCCAGAACAAGAACTTCAAGAAAAGGAAGGGGCTGGAGAGCATCTCTCAGCAATTAAAGCAAATCTTGGAAAGGACCCAAGGTTGGTCCTCAGCACCCACCTAAATGACTCACAACTGCCTGGAACTTCAGCTCAGGGTATCTGATGCCCTTTGATGCCATCTTCTGACCTCTTCAGGTACCTACACGCACGTGGGGGGATATAAAATACATCTTTTAAAAATTAAATTAAAAGAAAGTCCAAGTTATGCATAGAGCTCAGCAGCGGACTGCGGGATGTGAGAGGAACTGGCTTCAGTATCCAGAGCAGCAACGAAGCAGACAGCTGGCCAATGAATGTAAGAGATATTCTCAGCCTTTTCAGGAACGACAGCACAATCAAAACTAGGAGTTAGGTAGCACCAAATTCCATCAGAAGTGTTGCACAAAGACCATCAGTGGTCACGGAAATGTAGAACGAAATGTCCACGTTGGAAATAGTTTAGAATTATTTTAGTAATCCAAAAAACTCCACTCAGAGCTGTATATACCAGCTCCTGTGAATGTGCTCCCAGAGACAAGTGCAAGAGTATTTACAATGGGTCATCTGATACACTGCTTACTCTGCAAGTTCCGTCCCCAGAATCCATGTTTTTTTGTGGGGTTTTTGTTTTAATCCCTGCCTGCATGGTGTTGCTGGTTTGTAATCCCAGGGCTGAAGAAAACAAGCAGATCCCTGAAGCTCGTTAGCCAGCCAGCCTAGGTGAATTCCGTGACACTGAACAATCTTGTCTTTAAAAACAAGATGAAAAGGCCTGGAAAGACAGCTCAGCAGTTAAGAGAGCTTGATACTCTTCCAGAGGAGCTAAATTTGGTTCCAGTACCTATGTCAACAGCCTGTAACTCCAGCTCCAGGGAATCTGATGGCCTCTTCTGTCTCTGTAGTAACCTGCATATATACACACACAAGAACAAGAAAATGCAGATACACCCACACATACAAAAACATTAAAAAAACAAGTGATGAGGGATGATAAGTGACTCAGAGGGTAAAATGTGTTCTCTGCTCTGTGTTTAATCTCTGGGACCTGCATGCCACAGGGCAGAATCAACTTTGGGGACTATCTTAGGACTTCCATTGAGTCCTATGGTATATACACCATCCATGTGCAACATAAATAAAGATCTAATACAAAATTAAAACCCAAAATGAATAGTGTCTGAAGAATGACACCTAAAGTTGTCCTCTGGCCTTCCAATGCACACACATACTCAGACACACACACAGACACAGAGATACACATACAAAACCTGGTCTAGCTGACCATCCCCAGTATCGCTGAGTCTGAGACACCCAGAGATGTCTCACAGCTCCTGGTGTGATGGGTGTGAGGTGGAGGCTGCACCGATGGAGTGTCCTTGCCCAAAAGGAATCAAAAACCAAGCCAATGCCAGTTTTCAGGCAAAATAGAAATCCAAAGTCCAGCTGAAGGTACCATGAAGGAAGCAATGCGCCAAATCCCGAACACAGAGCTTCTGGGCAGTAAGAATGTCGTTTCCAATGTTATGCCCAAAGTATGGACCCCAAAACCACCAAGAGACCAGATCCGATGCAAAAGCAAAGAGTCATTTTAATTACTAATTAACTTGGATCTCCATTTGTCTGACACAATGGGTGGAATAGGAGGGACCCCAAATAGCAAAAGGGGCATCTAGGAGTCTGCTGGTTGCATAGTAACAGTCTCAGGATTGG